GACAGATTCTTGTAAAGCCGCCGAAGCGGCCGCCGAAGCGGCTCGTTGATTGTGTCCGATGAGCTTTGCCCCCAAACGGTTCCCGTAAAGCAGAGATAAAGGGTCTAGAGTCTAGAGTCTAGGCCCTGGAGCGTCTAAGAATGAGGGTTCTAAGGTCTGAACTCTTTTTTTGAAGCTTCCGGGACATCTCCGCCTGACAGCTTTCTGCGAGGATTCATCAGGCCTGCAGGCGAAAATTACTATAGAATACACGGACTTGTGGCCTCTACTGGCAGGGGACCTCCAGTACTACCGATTTCTTTCGCTGGCGACCCCGAAGTTTGATGAAAACGCTCCGAGATCAACACCTTTTAACTCTACCTAAGTATGGACAGGACTCCAATGTTTGAATTTCCGGGCACCCTCAACAGCTTTCTCATTCAAGCTCAGGAGTCCGGAGATGTTGCAGGCGACCTTCAATGCTCTGGTCCAGCTTGCTTTGATCCGATTGACCTGGGGCAGGTGCAGAAAGGGGGTTTTGAAGCCCCAAGATGTGCAAGAGCCCGAATGAAGCCGAATTTGGTACTCTGATGTACTCTGTCCAGCAGGACTAAGTTGATGAGAGAGGGACTGTGTCTTCCATGAGCCCAAGATCCGGCGATGGCAGCCCCGAGACTTGGAACCGATGATAGAGCATCCTCGCGCAATCTGACAGTGATGTCAACCGTTCTGACTCCTAAAGGGCATGTTTAAATACACAGAGTTTTTTGTTTAATTGCTGAGATCAGTTCCTGCAGTACGACGCATACCCGAAGAAGTCTTCCTTTTGTTTGTCAGCTGCTTGACTGGATGACACTGGATGCCTTGTACAGGGGCTGTCCTGAGTCCACCTGCGGTGTCTCGGACTTGCTCCAGCGTCTGGAAGGCTAGTTCGGAGTGGCAGCCTCAGGGATCTTGAACAGAGACACGATAAGACCTATTTCAGACTGACAGGGATGGCTTACACGGTGTGGCAAGGAGCCTTCCTCCTGGAAGAAGATGATGAAGGCCTTAAGGTTGCAGCTGTTCATTGCTTCACTAGCCTTGCTCATGGCCTTGTGCCTAAGAACTCCCTGAACCTTCGCGGCCGTCATCGTCTGGCCAGCATTCCTATGACCCACTGGGTAGCACCGAACTGGAAATCGGCCATGCGGCCAATAAAGGAAATAACCGACACAGTGAGAAGTCAAACGCGCTTCTTTCCGGCCAGAAGAGACAAGTCCATGCTGATCAAGGAAGCGGAAGGGAGAGAGCGGAGAAAAGCAAAGATAACTTGCCAGGCTTGTTGCTTCTCCGTCTTCCAGGTGCGAGGCAAGCTCACCTTGGTAGCCATGCTCCCGGATTCACCGATAGTCAAGAACGAGTCGAGACGCAACATGACTTGGCAAGGTCATTCGACTTTAATGCTTAAGCGGGAAACGACGGCTTCTACATGGGCGCAGCACTTGATCCCTTCACCACCACCTTCTGTGTCCAGCTCAAGCACCCATGGAGTTGGAAGAGAGCCGCCAGGTCTTCATCAGTGCCCTGAAGAGCCAGGGTTTCAGTTGCTTCGCCAGACACGGCGCTCGTGTATAGCTCAAGAAACTGTATGCGTTGCATCCCGTTGCTTAAACATCCACAAGCAGCAGCCGAAAAGCGTGCGCTCCAGCCGCTAAAGTAGTAGAGATCAAAGAAACTGCGAACTATCAGCGCGCCCAACCTAGCTGTCAAACTGTGGCATGGAACGCTCAGCTTCAATTCGCCAGCATTTTGACCCTCTACGCCAATCCATGCATTAAGCCTTCGATAGGAGAAGATACAAAGAACAGAGGCTCTGAAAATGTCTGAGATTGGTCAAAAGAGGTTACAGACTCGTGTCACCTTTGGGCCTTTGGCTGCAAGAAAACGACTCTCCAGCAGAATCGGATCCCAATTCAATCAGACATCATCCGTTTTAAACCATCTCCGAAACCTTACAAATTTCCTTTCGGCGGGCTCTCCTGTGGGATTGCTGTGTGAGGGCCATCGTCTGCTTGTAAACGGACAGAAGGCTTTGGAAGTCTGTCGCACCTCGGACAGCTCATGCCCTGAGATGGGGTTCGATCTGATTGTTTCAAGCACCCGAAGCATAAAGAGGAGACATAGACAGCTAGACAGGGCTTAATGGCCTAAGCTTTTAGGATTATGGGCCTCAGCTCCGGAGAGATCCTGGTCTCTAAGAGCCTAAGCAGCCTCCCCTCAAATCAAATTCTTGTCTGAACCCCTCTCAAGGGCATTCCAAGATAACTCCAAGAGCACCCGAAGAGCACGCCAAGACCAACTCTTTTATAATCTTCGGACTTCAAGCATGTCAGTGTTGCGTTCTGTGCTTGGGAGTGTGTCTGAACAAGCTTCACGATGCTGAGATGAAACGACACTGTCTGTCGCTGCTCCACACAGCGAGGCTCAAGAAGCCGAGTGCAAGTGCTCCAACTCTTTAGCCGACCGAGTTGCATCGTTCGTACTGTGCAATGGCTCGGGATCCAGACTCGAAACCTCGAGAGAAGGGACCCACCCCCATTCTCCCTAACTGGAACATGTCAAAGATGCCCTTAGCGTAGCTGAATCCAACTGAACCAAGAACAAAACAAAAACCTGGCCTCTGGTCCTAGGGTTCTAGACCTCTGCATCGGCCCAACGTCAGTGGCAACCGATGGCAGTGATGGAGCTGAGATGCCGTTTATCTCTGTCTCCGCTTCATCCATATATTCATCGAGAGCGCTCCGAATCTTCCACCAGATGCCTTACACGTCTTACAGTCTGACATTTGTGGCACAACTGGAGCTTCGAACATGTAACCCTACCTGGTCAACTCGTCATGTTGACCTAGGGAATTCTTATGTCTGTAAGCTCGCTCAGTGTGACAAACGTTTACACAAAAGGGACATCAAGCCGGGTTAAGCCGCGGAATGAAGTGTGGGCCTCAGGGGTCAAGGACAGAAAAGCGAAGATCAAGTTCATGGAGCTTGATCTGATGATTCCATGCCGCTTGCTTCTAATTGGCTGGTTTGGAAACGTGCAGACAACCATGATCGACGAAATGCTGCTGGGCCGGGTACTCAGGGTACTGTGGGCACGGCTTTATGCAATGGGAGATCGACAGAAAGGCCCGCTGCAAGCTGAGATAAGAAGCCCGGCTCTGCCCACAAGAAAGATTTCCTGTTTGGGCCAGTTTTTCTGGGCGAGACAGTGTGGATGTCTGCGACATGGTTCAGACAGGTTCAGACTCTTGCAACCAGTGGGCGGTCCAGGTCCCGCAGGACGGCGCGGCGCTCCGAGCTGAGCAAAGCACTTGTCCTGCGATGCTAAGTGGGAGACTTCTCCATACTGTTCACCCTTTGTTGCAGGCGACAAACCCATTTCTTAACATACCACGTCGTGTCTCAGGAGCTCTTCAACTCCTGTTCCAACACTCGTTCTTGATTAAACCTCCCACCCAACAATGAACACGTTAATCTGTAGCATGGCTGCATTAGCATGTTGGGTGGCTCTTGCTCTTCAAATTTTCAAGTGAGGCTATATGCATGCGTGCAACTGTGCGCCTGGAAATCTCTTCTGGCATTGCTTTTGACGCACCCGCCCTGGCTTCTTCGGTCCAATCACATTGGGGAATCACGACAGTTTGGACAGGTGTGGTGCGGAAGTGCGTGCAAGCCCGGGCTGTGGCTGCGGGCTTCGGCCTCGTCGCGGCATCTTGCGCGTGCTGCTTGCTGTGAGCTGCCACCTCGCCTTTTCTCGTCCACGATTGGCACCCCCCAGTGTCTGCCTACAGCTCGGTCTCCAAGAACTATTATTCCATGAGCAGCTAAAGCTGTGCCTTTGAACTCCAGCTCCAAAACAGATCTTTCGTGAAAACGCTTGCTTTGGAAGTTGTGCACAGCCTGGACTCGTAGCACTCATTGCAAGTGGTCTACATTTTGCACCCTCTTGCCGGGCGCCGGACAATTGCACACCTTTCTTGCTCGCGTTGCTTCAGCATCTTCAGTAAATGCCATCAGGCATCAGCCGGAAGAATGCAGTCATTAAAGACGCACATAGCGAGTGCGCGACACGTTGTCACTGCGTTGTCAACATCCTTCCGGTGGGGTCCGCCTGTTTGCGCATGCATCGGATAGCAGTGGGCACCAGCTTGACTGCAGATACTTCCGGTGGCGGCACCCATGGCCGATGCCAGCCCACTCGTGTGGTGACGTGTGGTGCAAATGGGATGGGGGATGCTGTTCCCAGCGTCGCATGGAGGGTGCGCCCTCCGGAGCGTGCCCGCCTGGCAGGTCCCTCTTTTTCGCCTTTTCATGGCCAGATCCGTTTTCGCTTGCACTTTTCGGGGCAACCCATGTCTGCCTCATGATCTTGGACGGCCCCTGCCGTCGGTGGGTCGCCGCCTTCATCCAGTGCGATTCCACGCCTTCTACGGTGTGCATCACAACAGCTTTCGTTTCTGGTGGAGAAAAACCGTGATAGGTTGCTTCACAGCTGCAAAGACCTCACCTACCATCCCAACATCCTACCACCCTACAACCCTGCGTCACAAGAACGATGAACCAACAACATCCAACAACTGTCCTCTGGCGAGCCAGCTGTCGTGTGTAGTTTGCTCTCCTGACAGCGGTGATTGCAGTTCTACAGTCGTAGCGTTGTTTGAGAGGCGTCTCTCGAGTACAATCCATGTAGCAACAAGTAGTTAGCTGCATCACGCAGCAGCTAATGTGGTCCCACTTGCAGAGGTCGCATGCATCCAGAACAAGCCTGCCTAACCCAACAAGACGTGTTCAGAGCTCTTCAAGCTGCAGACGCTGGTTGTCCAAAAGTCCAAGTTGCTGCTTGTATATTCCCAGCGTTGCTCTCTGAAGTTGGAGCTGCTGTTGCCTTGGTATGATATGTGGCTCAAGTTTTCCAGGTGCAAAGTGTGCACACCCACGGTGAAAGGATAACACCTGCAACATTATGTGCAGCGCGGCTGCATTTGACGAGCCATCTGCACCACGGACCTTCGAAACACAAACGCAGAGAAAAAGACACTGTACCCTTGCCATCTAGGTGCGTCAAAAGCGTGCTGTACTGAAGCCGGTCGCTGACAACTTTTCATACTGTTCAATGTCTGCTAGAAGGTTTGTTCTGCTGGGTTGCTTCAGTTTGCCCATCTCGATCTTGGGCATTTTTTCCTACTCGCCAGCCATAAAGTCACACAAACTACTTGCCAGCCACAAGCTCGCGTGGGCCTTGATCGCAAGAATCTCCCGTTACTATCCAGAAGCCTGATCTAGAAAACGGAAAAAAGACGCAAACACTTCTCGTTACAGATGAAAGCCCATCCTATGCAGTATGGCTTAGTTTGAGGGTTCGGGATGTGAGGCTCTGAGACGGTTGACGGGCTTCGGCTTGAGCATGCGGGCTAGTCCGCTAGGTTGCCGTTTATAGCGTGAGCAGATTATCCGAGCAATGACAAAGACTAGTCCCGTCTTCGGGTGTGGCATCCCCCCCTTCCCCCCCCATCCACTACAAACTAAATCGCACAGTCATACAATTTCATACGTGTGTGCACACGCTGCACACTTCTAACTGGGCGAGGTTTCCAATCTCAATTCAACTGAAGGCCCAGTCGCATGCCGACGTGCTCGGCCTTGCTGCGCTGATCAGACGCAGTCCTTGCATCTGGAAGCATCAACGCATGCTCTGATTGTCTTGAGGTGGAATGCAGTCAAATGCTTTGAAAATGGTCAAAGCTTTTGTGTGGAATGTGAAGGAGATGCCCTTAGTCAAAAAGCTTCACCGCAGCGGAGCTTCCTCAGCTTGGCTCGGAGGGAGATCAAGTTGTCAAACGCTGCGAAGACGTGTTGGCTGCTGTTGAAGCCATCTTTCAGGCTGGACTTTCCTGCAGCGTCAATGGGGGCTTCAGGGCAGGATGAGGCACAGCGAATATCTCTTAAGTTGCCTACCCCTCCACTCACTGCGAAAGCGTCATCTGCCACGTGTTTCGTGGGATGCAGAGAGCCTGATTTGCCTAGAATGCTGCGACGCAGAAAGCAGTCTGGCCGTGAAAGCTGCGTGTAAGGATTCCGAGTTCAGTCTGCAGTACCCTGAAACCCCCACAAGCGCCAAGAGGCCATCAGTAGAAAACTTTTCGAGGGCATCGCTGGCTGCCAGGGCAGAGGCGCGGCCGAACGAGGACCCATCCACATAACCTCGAAGCCTGGTCTCCAAGCAGAAGGGCTAGGGTTTGGACGGCTTGAAGTTTCCAGTTGCGCAGCTTGGGCATTTGCCTCTGCTTGAGATGCTAAACTCGGCAGCCTAGACTTTCAAGCTTGGCAGTCTTAAAGCTTAAAGAGTTCAGAACGTAAGCGTTTAGAGGTAAATGCGAACCTACGCCCCCTTCGGGCTTGACCAGGACCTGGCTGCCGTAGAATTTGCACAGCATGGCGCAGCCAAACCATTTAAAACCATCTAACGCCTTAGAAAGCCATGGCTGTTGGTTTTGTTTGCTGCGCAGGCTGACTGGGACAAAAAGAGCCATCTGTACAAAGCTTGGGCCATCAACGTTCCTTGACATATCGTGAAAATGGAGTGGATGTGATGTCAGCCTCTACAAGTATTGGAACCCTGCAAAAGCAACCATGACTCAGCTAAGGATCTCTGCTTGGATTTTTTGCGTCTGCTGCTTGATGGCCAAGAGCATCTGTTGCCTGTCGCCACCTGCAACTCTCCAAGCAGTGCTCAGACGGCTGGTCGTGAAGCGCTGCAAGCAAACTGTATTTCGATTTTGGGTACGTGCATCCTATGGTCCTATGGCGGTGATTTGCAGAATGCCTCGGTCCTCGGTGACCTAAGCCGCAACCTGCAAGGGCTCAAGCCTTCGAGTAGCTCCTTGATGGCCGTGAACTCTTTGTTGTTTTCCTGATGGCGTGCATACCCCCCGAAGAAGGGAGCGGTACATATCAACGACACAACCTACAGTTTGGAGTTTGGAGTTGGTCTGCAAAGCAAACTGGCCGGGGCTGTGTGGAAACTGAGGAGCCATGCTCTGCACCAAGCTTTGGTGGTCAATCTTCTCCGCCAGCCAGCCAGCATCCAGCTGTTGGGTCTTTACGATCCACTCCTAAGGCAGGATCTCACGATGACTATGCTGTTACTTTGTATATGAAAATAACGTTATCAGCTTGTTTCTGCGTTCTACACAAAAACCCTCTGTAATTAACGTGCATGTGTCTGTAGAGAGTGAAGGAAGAGAGAGGGAGAGAGAGAGAGAGAGAGAGAGAGAGACAGAGAGAGAGAGAGAGAGAGCGAGAGAGAGAGCGAGAGAGAGCGAGCGAGAGAAGGAGAGAGAGAGAGAGAGGAGAGCGAAGTAGAGGGAAATAGACCAGCTCTGTTACATGATAACAAGCTGATGGCCCCAGGGCAGCAGCCCGCCTGGAAACTGTTGCAGCATGACTGGTAGATAGGGAGAAGAACACAAACCACATTGCTGCGAAATTGGTGCCAAGCAACTGCAAGCTTCTCTGTGTTGCTATTGGTGATGTCCTTGGCCGTTGGCGAGAAGGTGACCATGCCGGCTTCTGACAAGCTTGGATTCCTGACACTGATACTCAACCTAAGGCTTCCAAGATACAACCACTATTTAGACTGTATTATACATGCCGAGACGTCGCAGTCAGCTAAGCCGAGTGCTGTGGCTTTCTTCAAGTTGCGAAGGATGGTCCGATCTCCTCCACAGCAAGCCCGGCTCCCTATCTGCGAAGAAATGCAGCAGCAAAGGAAACCGTGTCTGTGTTTCTCCGTTTCTGCAGGAGACAATACGTGCTTGAAATGCACCTACTGGATGATGCAACTGTAAGTAAGCTAGGCCCCTGGCTGGCTCTTACGCGCCAGAGCACAAAGTATGCTGCGCTAAGCTTCAGAGGGAATCCTATCACAAGCCCAGGAAGAAGGCAATTTTCCATCCCAGAACTGTGGGCAATGGGGCTTTTTGAGATGCCCCCGGCATAACCAATGGCAAACAACATCATTCTGCTGCTATTGCCAATTTTGCTGTGTCGTTCCCAACAAACAATCTTGCAGTACCTCGCGGCCGAGCTGTGTTGTCATCCGGGAAGGGGTAGGGGATGTGTTTCGACATCCGGGGAAAGGGGCTGTGTACTCGATGCCCCCCTGTGCTTCTATGAGACAACCACTCGACACGTGGGCCTCGAATGACAGCATCCCGAATGCAGTGCATGTCACCTCAGTAGCGGAAGTCTTGTCATGAAATCGCTACAGCCCTGAAGCTTGTGAGGATCGGCTCATACTATGACTTGTTTGTTGCTCCATGTTTCTCCCGTTCTTCAATCACCAACGTGCTGCCCCTGACCTTCAAACTTCAAACCCAAACAAAGAACTAGTCCCTAAACACCTATTTACTTCGAGCATTTCCACCCCAAAGCTAGGGTAGCTAAGCCTAAGCTATTCTGCGGGCACAGCAGGGATCATAAGTGATTGGGCGTTCCAGAACTCTCCGCATACTTCTGCGGAGATAGTGTGGGTGTGGGAATGTCCGAATGTCCTTGAAGAAATCTCTGAGGGTGGCACAGGGTGGCTACTCCAGGGTGCGGAACTAGAAACAACAAAACAAGGTTGACTCGAGAGCCGCGATCGAAAGGGTAGCGTGGCACAGCGATTTTACAGGATGATGTAGGCTCGCCTGCCAGTGAGTGGTGGGCAGGCGTTGAGCAAAACACCGACCTAATGTCTAAACCTCTTTGCCTCATTGAGTGAGCATGCAGCAACCTTACTTAGTGCAGGGTGGATTGGGGCTGTTGACTGGAGTTAGCGTCTGTTGTGTCTAACCTTGGCCCGAGGGCATGTTATGACCCTAGTTAGCCTGGCCCAGCGTTGTGTGCGGCACCGCATCTCGCCCCTCGCGAAAAAGGAGTATGCCGCTCTGATAAGGGTTCTGATGAAGCGCCCAAAAATTGCAGGGGCGATGGCAAGAGCCACTTTCACCATCGGCATTGCATCCTTGTCGCCGCCACTACACTAGCCTGTGTTATGTGCCCGATCTTGCAGGCTTTGCCGTATTGCAGCTTCGTTGCAAAACACGCGTGCAAAGTTGGCCTGGTTCGGTTGGCAGTCACTTGCCTGGGCCTGACCGGAATCTTGCTGGCAGCTTTATATATATGTATATATACATGTACATAATTTTTGTCGTACAGCTCATATTCGCTGTGCAAAAAATCAGTGCGCCTCTTTGAATGACACTAGCAGCTAACTGTGACATGCTGTAGTGGCCTCACTGATGGCATCCAGCTGGTCGTACAGAGCGACTTCCTCCATAGCGGTTCATGTCGGAAAAAGTCTGCATGTATACTTGCCCTGATTGGGTTCCAAACCTTGGGCCAAGGCCCTGAAAAAGAGCAAAATCTCTTCGGCAGATGTCCTTTACAAACGTGAAGGCTGTGAAGCCAACCGTCACAATAGCCTTGCATGTGTCGCCCAAGTCAGCACCTCAGCCATGCACTCGCAACGCGAACTGCCTGGAAACAAAATGAATGGGCCAGACATATGGGGTCTTCACGAAACTGCGAAGCCTGAATCGAAAAATCGACCACGGCTTTTCCTTCTGGTCCTCTCTCCTCTCATGGACATGGAAGGATGGAAAGCAGGCTGAGGCACCATGAAAAAATGGTGACGAGACGTTGTTTTTCATACGATCAAGCACCTGTAAACAGGTCAACCCGAAAAGCCACGTTGCTTGCACCAAATCCCATCGGGGACGTGATGATCTCTGGAGCGAAAGCACAGACCCTTGGTCGACAAGGGTGATCTAGCGGCTAGCGGTTGCGACATTCAGGGTTGTCAGAATTTCTCTATTCTTCCTGTCGTCCTGTGAAAACGAATGCAAGGAGCGAATGCAGGACTTTGGGACTAAACTTGGGCGTTTCGTCCTACTAAGACTTGAAACACAAATATTCTCTTGGTCAACTTCATGCTGTTGTCGCGATTGCAAACTGATGGTCGAAACTCTCGGAACTCCTACAAAACTGGCTGACCAAAGAGAAGCCACAACATGTTCTTGTATAGGAGAGAACGACATGGAATCTAAACGAATTTTCAGTACGGTTTAGATTCGCTAATAATAGGCTTCATGACTAACAACGCTGAATACCATCAATATGGTAGCTACTGTTCGTCCATGTCGCGTTTGGATGATTGTACTCAGAAATACCCGCTGAATAGGTACAAACTCATATGTCGTTTAGTTTAGTTGACTGCATTTTTATCCCATCTGTCTTGCTGAACATACCCGTGCCCTGAGCAGAGAACATCTCTTCAGAAAGGGGACGCGGGTCATGACAAGTATGGGTGCGCTTGATCAGCCTTGCCGGACATCCCTCTCTAGGACAGCGAGAACTTGAACTCCAACTGGAGCCCCGATGACGACTGCGGAGGGGCTGAGAAGGCAGGAGGCCTGACGCCTTACCCATGGCTGTCACACCCCAGCGCTATCCATCCATCCATCCTCCCAACCGCGCTCATGAACACACCATTTGTGTTAGTGCAAGTACAAGGAATTGCCCTTGAGAATCTTGAGAATTAGAATCTTAAATGGTTCCTAATACCGGCATGAAGATAGCTAGTTTTTTGTTCCTCAAAAAACAATCAAGATAATATGAAAATCAGCGCGCCTTGAAAACACATTTCTTTCCAGGATTGTTCGTGCCACTCACGGATGAAGTATTTACTGGCCCATGAATCCAAATCTGAAATGCACGGGGTCCCTGAAACAGCGCACGCTCCGAGATTCGCATGCCCATCGGGTGAACAAAAGATATCAGGCCATAACTCCTTCACGGTTAATGAAGCCACAGCCAAGTAACGTAGCTTGTATCGAGTGGGAAAGGCCCATTCTGTTCATGATCAAGTCGACATATTTCATGGCCTGTCAAAATCTGTGCACGCCACAAAGCCATTGCCAAACTGAAGATTGGAACTCCCTCTTCATCTGGACTAGGAGTCCTAAACTCTCAAACAGCTCCAAATCTGCGGAAAGCCGAATTCTACAGCAGAGCGCTCGTTGCAGCAACTGCGATTACTCGTCAAACGTTCGGTTCCCAAGCTTTCCTCTTCTAGAAGCTCTAGTGAAGGATGGACACAATACAACAGGCGCGACACAAGGCTCTGAGCCCAATGCAATCACCGATCTGAAGAATCTCTTCCTTCGTTCTACTTCTCAACCAAAAGATGTTGGGCTCTCGAGAGAAAGGCGCCCACCCCGGCCAGCCCCCGGCCAGCCTTCGCCGCCCTGGTGCAAGAGGCAGAAAGCACTAGAGGCAGAAGCATTTCATCAGCTTCCAACGGCCAGGATAGACTCCGTTCTAGGACAAAAGGTCCATCATTTGTTGAGAACGTCCTGCACAGTTTGACGAGGAACGACCGTTGCCCATCTATGCAGGTTCAATTCAACTTCTAGACTAGGATGACTAGAAGGTCTGGGCAATCAATGCCTAGGTTGAGGCTTGTGGAAGCGCATGTTGGAAATCCGAAGGATTTCGTGCAACTCTTGCTCTTTTATGGTGCTGCCTTACGGAGGCCTCGCTCGGATCCGCTGCTTCATTTTTTGCCGCCGAATCGCTGGTAGCTGCCTTTGCCAAATCGATCGAAACAGCCTCAGCCAGGCTCTTGTCGAGAATCAATGACAAACATTCTTTGGCCCCTCTCATCTAGATACGGCCGCCCAGCTCTTGCGCCCAACCCTGCACCCAACACTGACTGATGCATGCCGGCCATATCGCATGCAAAAAGATATGTCTCTTGAAGACCTGCCCTATCGTCTACAGGGCATGCCGGCACTTTGCGACTGAGAATGGGACCTGTCAGCTCGTCCTTGGCATGTGTCTTGTTTATGTGTTCACATATCTACAACTTACATATGTACTCTAAGTTATATGCTTATCGTTGCAATTCTTATACATCCATGAATTTCTCTATTCTGTATTTCTGCTCCCGCTCCCCCCCCCCGCAAGGACCAACCGCGATATGGAAAAAACACACGGAAAATCTATTGAAAAAACACAATCCGGTAGCCTCTCCTGAGGCAATTTGCCTATGAAAGGCTGCAAACAGGCTTTTCGTGCTTTCTGCAGTTTTTGCACTTGTTAATGTGTTCTTGTATCTTTTATTGCTGCTTGTTATACTAGTTTTGCCTTGTTTTGTGTTTGCTTTCTTTAACACATTGTGTGTTTGTGTGTGCTCTTTTGTTCTTGCAATTGTTTGTGCTTGTCTGGATTTGTTTGTTGCACTGATTTTGGCACACTGTGTGCTCTTGGGTATGAAACTCCCAAAACCCAAAAGTCCAAACTTGCCCGGGGGATATCCCAGGAAAGCTTGGATGTTTGGATTTTGGTGAGGGGGGGCTGGCTCCTAAACACAGGAATTTCGCATATCAGTGAGTTTTTCGGCACGGAGAGAGAAAGAAAGGGTAAATGCAAAAACATGCCGTCAGCGAGTCGTGTGTCTCAAGTTTCTGCTTTCAGTTTAGCTAGTGTTTTCGGCAGCTCAAAAAATCCAAACCTCGCCGCAGGATCTCCCAGAAAAGTTTGGATCTTTGGAGTTTAATTAAGTTTGAGATTTTGGGCTTTGGATGGTTTTGATTGGAGAAAGGGGTATAGCCCATATGGCCTTTCCTTCAAAACCAAACCATAAGAGAGGCCTCCGGCCAAACCACCCTTTTTTCTTACAGACATACTCCAAACCTGTTTTATGGCATTTTGTCAAAAACTTTGGATTCTTGACTAGCTTTTTGGAAATTCGGATTTCTGGAATTTGAGAGGAGCTAAAGAGGAGAGGTGGGTGGAGGGAGGGAGGGAAGGAGGGAGGGAGGGAAGGAGGGAGGGAGGAGCCCGTTCACAAAAGAAATGCTTCCATCCTTCCGACGAAGCATACATTGCAGTGGGGATAAAGCTTCTCCTTCAAACTAAGAAGTATCCTTGCAGTGGGGATAAAGCTTCTCCTTCAAACTAAGAAGTATCCTTTCTCCGCGCAGACATGGACACCTCTACATGAAATACCTACAGGGGCTCCACTTGTAAGATTCAAGCAAGAGCTCAATGGGGCCGTGTAACATGACTATAACATGACATGCGCGCCCTAGGAAGACATGTCCCACTTCAGTAGGGAAAGTCACCGACTCTCGAGTGGACAGTTCAGGGCCACAAATTGGACTTCAGCCCCATAGATCCTATAGATATCCCTGTTAATTTCTATGTGTTTCTATTCGAATTCTGGCCTTTCGAGCAGGCTATGTAGGATTTTAACAATACAGCCTCATTCGAGTACTTAAGACGTCAATGAGATTCCAGTAGGGTTCACCACCACATCACAGATGGGAAATACAATGCTACAATGTTTCAACTATCAGAAAACTGAAGCACTTTGTTGTCGAAAGGTAAGGGTGATCATGAGATGTAATCTGTGTTAAAAAGTAGTTAATCGCGCCCGTTACTGGTTCTTCTTGAAAAAACGCTTGTTCAGCTTAAAAAGCAAAAATCATACATTGACGAATACAAGCTGTTCAAGTTAAAGAGCCTGTGCAGAACACAAGCGCAGGCTGTTGTTGTGATTTACGCAACTAAAGCCTTTCACAGGGCGTTCATATACAGAAAGCCTATATTCAACATCTTGTTGAGAACGCTATTTGGTATCCGTTTAAGGCCATGTTCACGTTTCGAGTCAGGACGTTCATGAAACTCTGATTGGGGGTGCAATTGAAAACTGCTTGGAAAAATGCAGAATACATTGGACTAATCTCGAATGTGAGAAAAACAAAATCCAAAAAAGAAACAAAAATCCAAACTTTCCTCGGAGATTCTCCGGGCAAGTTTGGGTTTTTGGATTTGTTGTGTTTCAGGATTCTTAGTACATGTGGCACCGAGCCCGTTTGTCTCATATAACTCATGTTGAGTAGGAATAGAGGGAACGCTTCAGAGTAGACAGTGTATGCAGGAGCCTTCACATGTAGAGTTGTAGAGGTTGGTTCATTGGGGGCGGCCATATTTCTACATACCAGTACATACACAAATTCCTATATAAAAAAAGAGCGCGAGAGAGAAACAGAGAGAGAGAGAGACAGAGATATATACATATATGTGTATATTATATCATATATATATACACATGTGGGCATATATATATATATATATATATTTTTTTTTATCTGTTCGTATTTACATTCATATCTGTCCATATTCTAAGAACCCACGCCGAGGGTGGGTCAAGTACCAATTTTGGGCCCCTGAAAGCTCCAAAGCTAAAACGGGCACGCTCCCCGTCCTTTTGAAGTGTTCGGTCTCTCAAAGCTCCAAAAACGGTACCGGCTGATCGTCTGCTTGTCTGTGTGCGTGGATTTGGCCGAGTGGTACTAGACTGAAAGCGCATCTTTTACGAAACTTTGGGCTTAGGGTACCTATCTCTTGGAAACCGTTTTGTTTTGAAAGGCTTCTGCTGGAAGCCCAAGACCCTAAACATGCAGAAGCCCTCCCCAAACCGAAAGTCTAAACCCAACCCAAACCCCTCAAATAGACTTGACCCTTGCATCCCTTTCGATATGCCGGCCAGATTGAGATGGTATCTGGGGTCGCATCATCTTTGGATTCGAAGGAGGTCTACTAGCATGACTGAAAGCATGAATGCCAGCACAACACCCACTACGCAGCCCGTCGGAATCCAGCGGAACCCTGCTCTTGACACCGCAGTTGCGTACGGCATCGCTTTCCCAGTGGGCTTGCCATCGCCGCCAGCATATTTACCTGGGACACGGGTGCGTATTGATGTTGGAGTTGGGTTGGAGCACTCGTGCAGTACCCAGCACTGAAACGTACTGGACCCATTTCTTTATGCTTTCGGCACCAGCGCAGGTCCCAAGGAGAGGGGGCTCTCCACTCTCCTTTTCCGGGCAACTTAGGGAGAGATGACAGTGATACAAACTGGCACCGACTAAGTAAACTCAGACAAAGAAAGAGCTCTTTGTCGGCTCCCCTTTACAGCTCATCGCTTCTATGCCGAGTTGCTGCGAATGCCTCCAAACTGACCAGCCAGATCGCAAGGATGCACGTTCTGCACATCACATGCTGCTCTCATTCTTGTTTCAGGATTTTTCGAGGTCCCATGGTTAGGTTGGGTTGAAGGCAACATGAAAAAGCCAGCAGCCAACATGACGAGCGACACCAAACCAAACTGCTGGTGTCAACATCATGCTTCGAAAGAAGACCCAGCAGAAAGACTAGGCCTTGTACCCCGCCGCAGACTCCTCTTCCGTATCGAGCCTTCATCAGGCTTACTGGGTTCAGTTGCCCGGTCGGACTGACTACATCCCAATCCAAGGTTCGGGTTGTGTTTTGCTCGTGTTGGGGCATTTGCACGACAAAAAATCTTTATCCATTTTTTATCCTAAGGTCCGGGTTTAGGCGTTCTGTTACCCATCTAACGGCTGCTGCATGGAGCTTCTGATGAGCTGAGCGAGTATCAGAGCCAAAAAATCAGTCCCAAGCAAGTGTTCATAACCAACAAATACAAAAGCAATCTCTCGCCAGACCCTGTACTGAGCAACAGGGTAGGGGTGGGACCAACAGGGACATCTCGTAAGGAAGGTACACGTTTTGTGGGACACCTTCTCCGTGATGGCTCCTTTGCTCGATTGCCTGAACCCTGGGTTTGCTGGCCGACTTGCTCGCCTTGCTGAGAAATCGTGGTTGGGTCACCACAGGTGGCTCTCTTGGGACGCTTGGTCTTGAACAACAAGGTGACGCTGAGGAAGTCTGACTTGATGCTGTGTTTGGCTACCATCAAACAAGTCGTTGGCAGAGCCCGCATGGCTAGTCGTTGTCTTTGCGCCGCTGACATTGCTGCTGGTGCCACCTTGTTCCGCGTTCTCCAAGTTGTGGCAACCCTGTTGCGACGCAATCGCACTTGTTCTGATGTGGCAGCTCGGGCTGTGATTCTGTGCTCTATGGCCTCCCCTTTTTGGTGCTAGGACCGGGCTGAAGTTCCGGACCCAGTTGTGGTTCTTCCATTATGGGAACTCGGAAACACGGAAGTCTCCGCTTGTTTCAGGAGAGATGAAAAGTGCGAAAGGCGTGGGTCGCGTGTTAGCAGGCGGTGCGAGAGCACCGATACCATTAAAGGAGCTTGAGCAGCTCGCCTGCTTGACCTCGCAGGCACACCGCCAGATCCCAACGGGCGAATGTAACCCTGGTGATTTAAACCATAAGCCTGTAGTTGGCTCGCCTGGTTTATCCTGGTGTGAGTTTTTGGGCGAAGCTCTTTCTTGGCGTCCCCCACACAATCACACGCAGCTCGAGGCCGTGTGCGTTGTACCCCGGCATGCCAAGTGCTACGTACTCTCTGCGTGCTGCATTCCGCCAGCAGTGAATCTGCGAGGCTGATCCCACACGGGCTCACTTGGATCACAGTGTTATTGAGTGTCATTCCCGGTAGGAGGACATTGCCAGACTTAGCATAGGACAATGCAAAAGCCAAACCAACACAAAAAAGAGGGACCTGTTCTGCCCTCCCCTCCACAATCATCTAAGTCCTGGACTCATTTGCAGTGGCTTCCTCCTCGCCAGCATCGTTGAATACGGTCTCCTCACCCATTGCATCACAGGAATGAAATTCCCAGCGTCTCGGTTTCGCACAAATCACGCGCACGTGCTTACTCCAAGCATCAAATAAATGCGGCACTCCTGGACCTTCTTCCATAAGTCGCCATAGCCTACCTCAGCTCTCGTCGTCAAATCAGACCAAGTTTACTGCACTAGCTGCTGAAGTGCATGAGCTGAGGACAACACTTGAACTGAATAACCCTTGCTTACTTGTCGAAGCTGATGAGCTTCATGCTAGTTGCAACGACCCATGTTCGAAGGCAATGCCAAAAAGTCGTAGGCAATTTGATCTTTAATACAGAGCTTCGAAAATGGCAGCAGAACATGAAGGCACCATATTGCATATGCTGGCATCTGTTAACGATTCCGCAGAATGATTTGGCGACATGGGTGAGCGAACGCTGGCCACTGATGCCGCGAAATCACAGGAGATTGAACTCCATGTTGGCTGAGCAAGAATTCGACTATAAGAAAAGACTGGCCAAGTCACGCATTTGTCGGAGTACTTGGGCATCTCTGGCCTTTGCGACTTCTGTTAAGACGACAAACGCTCAAGGTAGTATGGCAGGCCATGCCCAGTTAGCACTGAAAAAACCTATCTCCAACAGAGACTGCACCAAGTGGCTCAAAAGTCTCCAGGGCGGGCTTCTTGGGTGCCTTGGGCACTACTGGCATAACGACACCACTTGAGACTGGACAAGATGCCCAGCGTCAACCACGGGGAAGCCCATGACAGCCAGCCAACCAACCAAACAACCAACCAAACAACCAACCAAACAACCAACCAAACAACCAACCAAACAACCAACCAAACAAACCAAAGCAAACCAAAGCAATCCAAAGCAAGCCAAACACCAACAACCCACAACCCACCACCCACCAACAACAACCAACAAACAACCACAAACACCCAACAAGCAGCCGTCCAACAAGCGTCAACTCTAACCATCAAACAACCAACAACCAACAACCAGCAACAAACAACAACCAGCGACCACAAGAAGAACAAGAAGTATTTGCCGTGCTCTGCGTAACCGTCCAAAGTGTTCAATGGGTTCTCAGTGTAAGGCCCGGCCCCCTGCCTCAGGGTTCCGCCTTGCACCGCGTGCCCGTTCCCCCCGCCCCAGCCGGATGTGCGTGTCGCTTGGGGTCTCTCTGTCATACTTCCAACCATTCAAAACTGGCATCGCTGCAGTAGTAGGCATATGGTAATTAGTAACAACATTTGTCTCTGGGCTTCAGTTGAACCATGTCACCTTAGGGCGTCGCGGTGGTGGCGGCGGCTTCACCTGACTGGTGCGACTGGTGGAATGTAAGTACCACTTGATCCCGCCACATAAGCCCATCATGTTTACCTGAATCCTGAACAAAATCCTGGGGCACACGACTTGCTATCGCAGCCTTTGATCAGCTTAATGGATTACACACTTACTTGCATTCCATTTAAGGAAGCTATCTCAGCAGGGCCTGCAAGCCTTTATGTAATTCAGGAGAAGTTTTGCAGCTCATCCAGGGTTTGCACCCAACAGTGCAAAGCTTGTCGCCGCGACTGCCATGACTCGTCGCGACCCACAGGTTTAGGCTATGTTTTTGAGCTTGCAGACAACTGCTTCTGACAGCCGTCGCATTTATCTTGTCGTCCAGACGTATATACCAAGGAAAATGTTCTGGTTATTGCGGAAGTAGAGTAGAAATGCTTGTCCTGCAGTGCGCAGTGCCTTACAGCTTAAAAGCTAAAATCTGGCTAAAAGTAAAGGAAAGGACTTTTGTAACTCTTAGATTGTGTGCGTGAGTGAGGGTGTGCGTGCGTCTGCCTGTCTGCCTGTCTGTGGGTGCGGGTCGGCTGGTCCGCGGAGGTATGGCAGGAAAAGGCGGCGGCGGGTTTGGGGGGAGGGGGGTGGCTCCCCCAGTGCATTTACCCACCGCTCCCAACAACACCGAACCTACAACCAAGAAAACTCAAAGCGGCCATAGGATGTATACATGTAACAAGCTCCCGCATGATCCCAAACCCGAAGTACCGGGTCAGCTCAAAGCAGCCATAGAATGATATAGAATGATTCCATGTAACCCCCACGCGCGTGAACCACTCATGGAATTTCTGAAATTCACACACCGTCCGGACCTGAGGCACAGCGGCGCTGCCCAGCAAACCACCAGGTGGCCCAACACCCTTCGCCTTCACTTCATCTCAGAATTCCAGCTTGCAACGTGCAGGAGTTTACAAGAAACGCGGCTGTTCACGTGCATTTTGGGATTCCACCTGCTTCAGGAGCTGCTCAACTTGGCGCAAAAGAAGTAAAACTGGGACTCCGGAGGGACCGGCAATTGTCTTGACTGACTTTGAGCCGCCTCAAACTTGCCGTCGAAATCGCTCACAGGGGTGGCATCCAGCGCCCCAAGATGAAGGCCTTGTAAGGTGCGAGAACTCAAGGATCGAAGAACACAAGAAGCTTTTAAGCTTCGAACGAGTGTAACCAGCAGCGACAACTTCCTTTGGCCAAGCCAAGCTTCCCATGGGTTCCACATCGTCCCCCTCCTCGGAGCAGTCGCCTGTATCAAAAAGCACTTCTGAGGACTATGGCGCGGTGAACGGCTCTTGGTCTTGCAACCCGTGTTGCAGCAATAGTCATGCTTATTCAGGGCTTAAGGGGAGGTGAAAGGACAACAACTGTTATTGTCATGTCTTGATATTTTGCTTAGTTGTCCAAGAACCCATGAAACTACGGAAGTCTTTTTCTGGTACAGTACTTTGCTTCCCTTGGCATGCGATTGATTTTCGATTTCCATCGTCCTAATACTGATTAGTGGAGATCCTGTGGTTTTTCTAGCACCTGTTTCACTTGACCTTCTCTTCGACTTGCGCTCGTACGATCACTATAAACCAGTCTTTGCAACCTGAATCCTGCTTAACAGCGGGACGCCGCAAGTTCATTTGCCTCATGATGGGGGTTTCTACAACTCATTCGTGGGTGTGTTCGTGAGTGTTGGGCACATGGCTGTGGAAAACCATGGGGGGGTCCTGGTATTGCGGCGGACATCTGCCGGAAAGCCATAGGACTTAATCTGCTCAACAAGCCGGCATGCCTCCGATGCACCACTTGCCAGTGTCCTCGCTGAACACTAACCTTGCCAGCTCTAAAGCCGGAACTGCGCTCAGGCATGAGCTCACACACTGATCTTCATTGAACCCTTTTCTGTCCATCGTCCTTCACGCTTTCTTTTTGCCACTGGACTGAGGTCCTTCCAGCTTGAACCCTAAAAACCCCAGAGCCTAAACCCACACATTCGTTCCCCTGGACAATTTAGCCAAAGAAGAAACAGGGCGTGGAACATGTGCACAATGCCATTTCTTGCAAATACAATGCTCGCACGATGGGTTCGGAAAGGATTGATACAGTCATATGGCTTTGAAGGATTGTCAGCTGATGGCGCGACTGTTGTTTTAGCCCAAGTAAACAAATACAAGTGGCTACGTAAATTATGTATCTTTATGCATATTTATACTTTTCCTGTATGTATGTATGTATGTATGTATGTATGTATGTATGTATGTATGTATGTATGTGTGTATGTGTGTATGTGTGTTTGTGTGTATGTGTGTGTATGTATGTATGTATGCATGCATTTTCGTGAGTCTGTGACGCCACGTTCTGACGCCAGGTTCTGCGACCCCACGTGTCTGCGTGACACCACATGAGGCAGTGACGCCACGTTTTGACGCCACGTCCGGTGACACCAGGTGGCTCAGCGACGCCACATAAGCCAGTAACGCCACGTTGCGACGCCACGTTCTGCATAAACACAGCAACACATCCTAGCACAATTCCTGGAGCGTCCTTTGATACACAAGTTTCCGCTCGAACCGCACGCGGGCGCATTACCCCGCATACGGGCTCATAATGCCGCATATGGGCACAACACAACCCGCAAAACGAGCGCAGAAACCCGCCAATCGAGCGCATGTTCCGCAAACGAGCGCAAACTGATTTGGGACAAAATCGAGCGGAAATCAGTGTATCAAAGGGGGGTCTAGGTTGTAAAGAATATGGAATATTAAAGCTGAGGCCTATTTAGGAAGTGTTCAGGTTTGACGAGCATTGGGTCCGCGCGGGGGGGGGGGGGAATGGGGAGCTGTCTGCAGGAAGTGTCTTCGCGACGCCACGTGTCTTCGCTTGTCTTCGGGAAGTGTCTTGCCCATGTGTCTTCGCGACGCCACGTGTCTTCGCGGGAGCTGTCTGCGGAAGGTGTCTTCGCTAGCCCACGTGTCTTCGCGACGCTGGGGGTCTTCACTTCTGGTAAAAGTGTCTTCTGACGCCCACGTGTCTTCAGACGGGATTCCCGACGCCACGTGTCTTCGCCGGGAATGTGTCACGTGTCTTCGCTGTCTGCGCCTGACATGTGTCTGCTGACGCCCATGTGTCTTCGCTGTTTGCTCTGGAGGGCCGGGGTCCTCAACCCCATGTGTCCTCAAAATGTGTCTTCGGTCTTCGGGCGAAATGTGCAACCCCCCAGGCGCCCGCAATGTATTAAAACCAAGTTTAGTACCTACTCTTTATAATACATTACATACGCTTCATTCGCAATGAAGCAGGTATATGAGTCTTACTACTGACATAAGACGTGTGAGTGATTTTTTAAGATACCCGCAATGACACAGAGAATGCACCATTCTCTTCCTTCCTGACAACCATGAATGGCCGAGCCTGTGTTTGCTTTGCTTCCTTGATGCTCCAGGCCCTCATCTTCACCCCCGGGTTTTAAGAGCCTTTCACGAAGCAACACCCTTTATTCGATCATGCTCTTTGCTTTCAGGAATCTGAGAGAAAAAAAAGGCAAGAAAAAACATGGGACCAAGGATTCCAAAAGTTCCAAAGTCCCTCGAATAAGGGCTATTCTCGAAGAAAGGATGTTTTTTCGCGAGCTTGCTCCCTAGAATGGGACTGTTCTGAAATAATTGGTGGAGGTGAAGAGGATGGTCTTCTGCAGAAATTAGGCAAAGAAGCAAAGCTAACAAAGGCTCGTCCAGTCATGGTTGTGCAAGTGTATCTGTTCAAGGGGGCTCTCCATTTACCGAAAAGAAGAAACTGATGATTAACGGACGGGGCCATGAACCGGACCTACGGGACCAGGAATCCAATGATGAGGTCTTTGGTTGCGTGTCCCTGCAGAAAGCCATTCTTGATGCACCGTCAAGCTTCACGCTAGTAAAGCCTGAGCCCTCAATTTTAAGGTTGCAACTCTTCCACCAGACAAGGTGCCAAGTCGATTGCTGACCCGCTCAACGCCTTCTTAGGGCAAAGGTTCATAGTACATAGGTACGTGTAAGTAGGGTTAAAAAGGGGGTAGCTATGGTTAAAACCTTTTGTAGGGTACTTATTGACTGATAACCCTGAGTACCTATCAACCTTCAAGTAGATAGGGTTTATTTAGGGTTTAGGTATGGTGGCAACATGCATTCCGGTACCAAATTCCCAAAATAGATAGGAGTAGGTAGACCCATGTGCTTGGCCCGTGCCCTGGACCCAGGCCTCGACCTGTTTGGAATTTTCGAATTTCAGATCCCATGGACTCAGGACATGGCCCCGTCCGTTCTGGATGCTTGGAAATTTCAAATTTTTGAACTTTTTGGAGTTTTTGCAATTTTGCAAAATTTGGCAGTGGAATGCATTGGGCCACCATGCATACATACATACATACATACATACATACATACATACATACATACATACATACACATACAATGCCTGTTACGACTATATACCTTACACTAGACACATACCCTACGTGATCTGTTGTGTTTTGTCTGTTATATGTAATTACTGAGTTTTACTTCACGAAATAATATGCATGGCATTATCTCACAGTTCATATACTATATGTTGTATATTGCATCCCAACAATTTGATACAACTGCAAACTATGTACGGTATCTAATATTTGATGCTGTGTGTTGCATAAGATGTATTCTACACAAAACATATATACATATGTGGCAGGGATTTTTAGGGTTCATTTCGCTTAGCATCCGTAGTCATCATATATATACACTAATAAAAAATCATTTTTGCCTTATCACTTATTATATGCCTAAATACATCACGACAAACACTACTACTTGTTCAATATATGATTCTGAATTGGATTGCTTTTTTGTTGCTGAAGTCAGATTGTCTGCGACAATCCGCAGGAATCTATACCTGCAACTTCTGTTGGGTGAAAAAAAGTTTGCACAATCGCACGCACCTGACCACACCGTCAAGTTTCGGTAACTATGCACCGCATCTTAACTCCTCTGCTGCATCATGTTGTGCGTTCGTGCTTGGCTCCTCAGTTTGCTGCTGTCGTCTGAGCTAGACCCCATGTGCTGTGCAGCGAGGCAATCACGCTAGGGAGCTGCGGTAGAGCTCAGACCAGCCATCTCACACGTCACGCGTGGGAAGCCGCTGCGCGGTCTCATCCTCTTCAATCCTTTGTTAGGGTAGGGGTTCAGGGTTTAGGGTTGCTGGGTTAAGGGAAGTTCGTTGACTATGGTTCATTCTTAAGAGCCCGGGCAAACTCTTAAATTTAAGGAGGTCTGGTTTAGGGTTTCGGGTTGCTGTAGAAGGAGCAGTGTGCTGCTGTAGGATTCAGGTCTAGAGTTCCCTAAACCATACATCCTTAAGCTTCTGAGGAGCATCCAGGAGCCGAAGATAATGTCCATGCTCTCCATAAGTATCCAAGGATACCCAGTCCTGTCGAGTCCATTCTAGGAGTTATGCTAGGCCAATTTTGTTCCCTTTCGGTTGCCTCCTCATAGGTTTTATGGTTTAGGGTTTAAGGCACCGGCTTTTTTTTTTAGATCTGGGAACCTACATTAGGAAGGTTATAAGTTTCTTCTGACTTAGCTAGTTGATCGTATTGTTGAGGAGCGCGATGTGGAAACTACAATAAAAACCTAATGCTCTTAACCCCGAGATCCCAGAAACCATAAACCTTAAAACCTAAACCCTGCAGTTAAATCCCTGGGGACCTGATGGCATCTTGAAGGCCTGCTTCGGCGTGGAGCTTGGGGCTTAGGCTTAGAGTTTAGTGATTCGAGCTTAGGGTTTAAATTTTAGGGTGCAGGGTTTCGGGTCTAGGGTTTTTGGAGTTTAGAGCTTAGGGTTTAGTGTGTTTTGTAAGGTACACCAAACCCTAACGTAGGAACCCTTAACCCTCTCTCCCGCTCGGCTGCGAGCATCCACAAAATACTCTTAGCCTGAAAATCCTACGAGCCCTAAACCCTAAGCCCTAAGCCCTAGACCCTACAGCTAAATCCCTGGGGTCGTGATGGCCTCAACTTCGCCATCGTTGTCAGCCTTGAAGGCCTCCTTCGGCGTGGAGTTTGGGGCTTAAGGCTTAAAGTTTAAGGATTCGGGCTTAGGGTTTAGAGATTAGGCTTTAAGGTTTCGGGTCTAGAGTTTTTGGGTGTAAAGGCTTTTGATGCGAAGTCCTTCTAGAGTCGCAAGGTTTAGGGTTTAGGGCTTAGGGTTCAGGGTGTTTTGTAAGGAACACCGGACCCTAACGTAGGAACCCTTAACCCTCTCTCCCGCTCGGCTGCGAGCATCCACAAAATGCTCTTAGCCCGAAAATCCTACGAGCCCTAAACCCTAAGCCCTAAGCCCTGGACCCGACAGCTAAATCCCTGGGGTCGTAATGGCCTCAACTTCGCCATCGTCGGCCGTCTTGCAGGCCTCCTTCGGCGTGGAGCTTGGGGCTCAGGGCTTAGAGTTTAGGGATTCGGGCTTAGGGTTCAGAGTTTAAGGTTTCGGGTCTATGGTTTTTCGGTTAAGAGGCTTTTCATGCGAAGTCCTTCTAGAGTCGCAGGGTTTAGGGTTTAGGGTTGAGGGTTTAGAGCTTAGGGTTCAGGGTGTTTTGTAAGGAACACCGGACCCTAACGTAGGAACCCTTAACCCTCTCTCCCGCTCGGCTGCGAGCATCCACAAAATGCTCTTAGCCCGAAAATCCTACGGCCCTAAACCCTAAGCCCTAAGCCCTAGACCCTACAGCTAAATCCCTGGGGTCGTGATGGCCTCAACTTCGCCATCGTCGGCCGTCTTGCAGGCCTCCTTCGGCGTGGAGCTTGGGGCTCAGGGCTTAGAGTTTAGGGATTCGGGCTTAGGGTTCAGAGTTTAAGGTTTCGGGTCTATGGTTTTTCGGTTAAGAGGCTTTTCATGCGAAGTCCTTCTAGAGTCGCAGGGTTTAGGGTTTAGGGTTGAGGGTTTAGAGCTTAGGGTTCAGGGTGTTTTGTAAGGAACACCGGACCCTAACGTAGGAACCCTTAACCCTCTCTCCCGCTCGGCTGCGAGCATCCACAAAATGCTCTTAGCCCGAAAATCCTACGGACCCTAAACCCTAAGCCCTAAGCCCTAGACCCTACAGCTAAATCCCTGGGGTCGTGATGGCCTCAACTTCGCCATCGTCGGCCGTCTTGCAGGCCTCCTTCGGCGTGGAGCTTGGGGCTCAGGGCTTAGAGTTTAGGGATTCGGGCTTAGGGTTCAGAGTTTAAGGTTTCGGGTCTATGGTTTTTCGGTTTAGAGGCTTTTCATGCGAAGTCCTTCTAGAGTCGCAGGGTTTAGGGTTTAGGGTTGAGGGTTTAGAGCTTAGGGTTCAGGGTGTTTTGTAAGGAACACCGGACCCTAACGTAGGAACCCTTAACCCTCTCTCCCGCTCGGCTGCGAGCATCCACAAAATGCTCTTAGCCCGAAAATCCTACGGGCCCTAAACCCTAAGCCCTAAGCCCTAGACCCTACAGCTAAATCCCTGGGGTCGTGATGGCCTCAACTTCGCCATCGTCGGCCGTCTTGCAGGCCTCCTTCGGCGTGGAGCTTGGGAACGTAGGAACCCTTAACCCTCTCTCCCGCTCGGCTGCGAGCATCCACAACATGCTCTTAGCCCGAAAATCCTACGAGCCCTAAACCCTAAGCCCTAAGCCCTAGACCCTACAGCTAAATCCCTGGGGTCGTGATGGCCTCAACTTCGCCATCGTCGGCCGTCTTGCAGGCCTCCTTCGGCGTGGAGCTTGGGAACGTAGGAACCCTTAACCCTCTCTCCCGCTCGGCTGCGAGCATCCACAACATGCTCTTAGCCCGAAAATCCTACGAGCCCTAAACCCTAAGCCCTGTCGGTAGCATCCTTGCCCCGCCTGGGGCATCATCATCGCTGCAGCCTTTTGGTCCTCGAGCATACGAGTTCCTGCGGACGTACTGACCTGGCTGGCTTGCGTTGACACTCCTCTTTCTCTCTCCAAAATTTTAGAGATGGGAAAAGGGGAGAGAGAAAGAGAGATTACAGGTGTCATCAAAATGAGCAGCCATCTTTGTACGCAGAAGGCATCTCAGCCCTTCAGGGTACGGACTTCGCCAGTGCCGGGGATCTTAGATCCCGCTGGCTCACGCCATGCAATGGCACAGAGGTACGCCGCAAAATCTTCTACCTTGGCACTCTTGGAGCGATTGTCCAACACCCACGTCAGGTACTCGATGGTGCTTTTGTCGCCTTCATTGGCGAGCTCAGCGTAGCTTGCCTTTCGATCCTTCACCTTTGGCAAGGTGCACATGGTCTTGCCCCAGGTGGTCACACTGTCGATGCCTTCGGGCAAGGCCGTTTTGGCTGTTGTGGTCGGTGAGGTACCAGCTGGGGTAGCCAACATCTTCTTCTTCACACTGCTTACGTTGACTGTGGAAAGGTAACCTTTGGACTCCACCAGCTCAAAGGGACTGAGCTCATCGGACGGACAAACTCTCTTGCTGGCATCTGTCATGGCCCCTGGGACTGAGCCAGGCCCAGCCTCGTCAAGGAGAAGCGGATTCTGGATGGTGATGTGTCCGTCCTGGGCCAGCCGATGAATCCACAACCTCAAGTTGCCGGTCTCTGGCAAGGTTACCTTGGAGAACGTGGAGGTCGAGGCAGACATGCTTCGAAGCTCAGCACAGGGTCACACAAAGAAACTGGCTAGCTAGCTTGCACTCTCCTGAGAGATATGCTGCGCAGAGGTGGCTCCCTTGCACCTACGCACACAACCCTAACACTAAGACCCCAAGAAAACACATACACGACAAAGTGAAACAGCGATCCTTATCAGATGTCACTCATACCTCCAAGGTGCGCCCTTAGAGGCCTTGAGGCGCTCTCGATTCGCCTTCTTGGTCTTCAGGATTTGGGCTTCAGGTGACAATTGATAGGTTCCTAGTTCGAGAATGGCTCGCAGCAGGTCTGCAGGGTCAGCCTTGTCTTTGGTCAGGGCATCGCAGATCATGAGTTCGGTCGGACACCATCGGACCTGGAGTCCTGCTCTCTCCATGCTTTGCTTGATAATGGCGATGTCAACGCAAACCCTCTTATCCTGAACACCGGACAATGAGGATAGGGTGTGCAGGTGATCATAGAGACTTTTACAATCAGTCACCCCAACCAACTTCGTGGCACGGAGTTGAGGTTGGCAGGTCCGAAGGTCGAAGCTTCCTGCGCGGGCTTCGGCCAGAAGCAAACTCATCCACTCAGCGACGGCTGACACCGTGGAGAACGCCTGGGCTTCGCCTCCAAGTGTCGAGGGCACAACACGGTGCAGGCGAAAGGACTTCCAGTGAAAGGGGCTCCACTGCGCAGGTTTATTCTCTACGAGTTCGGGCCCGGTGAAGGCAAGGATATATCCAGCCTGTGTGCGATCCTCCTTGGCATTGCTCCAGGCTGCGTCACTGTGTGTGCAGATGCACAGCTGTTCAAAGGGAATGCTCTTAACCTTGATCTCGACACTTTGAAACTGGCGGGCTCTTTGAACCAATTGGTTTGCATACAGCAAGTCGGCAACCCTGGGGCTGGGAAAGGACTGCTGAGACATGGAGACTTAGTTTGAGGCACCGTTGAGGCCTCGCAAAGCTGAAAGTTCCCTCGCGGAAGCCGGCTCTTGCCTCTGTGCGGCGCGAGCCTTGGTGAGGGAAATGGGTCGGAGATGTTGCGCATACTCTTTCTGACTGTAGGTTATTTCATACGTCACAGGATCTTGGACATAGTTGACGCCGCAGAATTCTCCAGCCCCTATTCTCCACTTTCGGAAGGGGAAGCGAGCACGAAGCTTGCGCACAGCTTCCTCGTACGCCAAGCCTTCTCCACCGGTAATGGAGTCATCTACATGTGCTCCTAGTACTCCACTGAGTTCATGGCTCTTGGGCTCTCGGAAGTAATATACGCAGTTGTCAAATTGAGACCTCTCAAAACCCGCGGCTCGGGCTTCGGAATCAAAGGTTTCCCACCACCAAAAGGGGGCATCGTTTAACCCATAGACGTTCCCTGTCACCTCAATGACGTCAGAAGGGTTCAGGCCTGGAATGCCGCCTGGGGGCTGCCGAGCGTATAGGGGTCGGTATTTATGCTTGATAGCTCCGGCTTCTAGGAACGCGCCTTTGACATCCCCTAAACACATGCGCCACCTTTTGGAAGCTAGGATTTGAAGCAAGAGGGCTCGAGAAAGCTGAGACATAGTCGGAGAGTGACACGCTCCGTCTGTGACCTTGGTCCGAAAGTCTGGGTCCAGGTGGCCCTGCAGACACCAACGAGCTTTGATGCGCTGATCACCCTCCTCTACTTTCTCGGTGATGACAAAGCGGCTACCAATGAAGCGATGCGGACACTCACGCTTAATCCTCTCAGCCTCAGCTCCCGTATGAACCTTTACTGCGGGCTTAGACAACATAGTGCACCACTCGCTACCCTTAGCCTCTTCGATGCGTTCCTGAAGCTCCTCGGGATTACCTGTAGCTGGAAGTTCTTTTTGCAAACGTTTTTGGAGAAACCCGGCTAGAAGAACCTCACACTCAGGAGCCCGAGGGTGGTCAAGACGCCACTGAACCATAGTGTCCTGACAAAACAGCACTTCGCTGGCTTCCTCCTGAGATGCTGTAGGCTCTCTAGGGCTTTGTGTGTCGGGGGGCGCTAGAGGAACCTGTTCACTGTCTTGCGGGAGCAACTTTGGCAGCACTTCTTGAAGCATCTCGGAAACATCTTCTTGCAAAAACTCAGCTGGGCGGTGAAGCTCGAGCTCACTCGGGCGCTGCTTACCCCTGACCCGGGCACGGACAGGCGCATATGAAGATGGTTCAGGCACTTGCGTTGAGGCTCCACTGCTGGCGGGGGCAGCACAAGCCTGGGGCGCCTCGTCCCGAGCGGTCTCCCAAATTTGACCAGCCGTCTGTCCTGCTGGCATTTCAGCTGGCACGGCGCACTCTAAGGGATGCGCGGACGGAAGTGGCTGCGCTTGTTCTTCGGGACTAGGAGGAAAACTCTCGGAGGTGAGGTCAACCAGCTGGTTCTGGGGGAACTTACCTTTGTCTAGCAACTGGCGCATGCCTAACAGCTCTCTTCCTTCCGCGTCGATGGCCTCAGGCGGAGGCTGCTCTTCGCATGTGGCCGGTCTGAGTTGCTCAGGAGCGCAACGCAGTATGGATCGTCTGTGTGCAATCACGACATTTTGTCCGACCTTACCTAAAACCAAAGCCGGCCCATACCAGCGAAACCCTCTAATGATTTTACCTTTTTCGAGCTTTTGACTTCGCCAGTAGGCAACCCATTGGCCGGACTCAAAGTCACGTCGCAGACGAGGGCGGGCACGGAGTGCCTCACGCAGAGCCTTGTGGTCCTGCGCAGCAACAACAGCAGCTCGGGCTGCCTGACGGATGCGGTTCTGTGCTTCAACCACAGGCTCTGTCAACACGGCATCATTGGCAATCGGAGACGGAGAGTCTTGCAACAGGTCACTAGGAATGCGGGGATTGCGGCCAAAAACAAACTGGTACGGTGATACTCCAGCCATGTTAAGCATAGAGTTTTTGGACGCAACAGCTTGGATCAGGCACTCTTTCCACTCAGTCTCTGATCGCGGCTGAATTTCGGCAAGCACTTTGTTCAATACGGTCGCCAGCAGACCACCGTGCCTCTCGACTTTGCCTATTTGCCAATGTGCTTCGGCAGGCACGTGACAAACCCTAGTACCTTCATCTTCACAGGCCTGGCAAAGACTCTGACTGAGGTTGGGCTGCGACGGGTCAAGCACCAAGGTGTTGGGAACGCCAGCCCAGCTCAGCCAAAACTGGGCATATGCTTTGCGGATCATGTCACCAGTCTCACGGCCCGATAGCGGAACAACTTGCTGAAAAGAACTCCCATAGTCAACGATGTTAAGGCACGGAACCTTAGACCCTGGAGCCCAACCCTGAAAGTACTTGACATCCATCCCAATACGGTCATTAAACCCTTCTGTGTGGGCCGGCTGAGCTGGTATTGCGTCGGATGGACGCTTGCTTGCCTCGCAAGTGGGGCAGGTGAAATCGTTTGCTCTGCGGAGAGCTTCGTCAGATGCACCACTGTTCTTAAGAACCCTGAGAAAGCTAGCTTTGGATGGGTGACCTAAGTTGTTATGAAGCTTTTTAAGGGAGAGGCCTATGGGATCTAAGGGGGATTCTTTGGCAGGTGGATGCCCAACAGCCATTGGCTCTGCAGCGACGTCGCTACCTAGGACCCTGTTTTCTGGGGCTCTTGGCAGCTCTCCAGCCAAGCATTCGAACCCAGAGAGGCTCACGCACTCGACGCAGTCATCTTCCTGCCAGAACGAACATAGGCACTCTCGAGGTTCACCTAGAGCTCCTTGTAGAAGGGTTCTGACAAAGTGGGGGGTACACTTACTGGCAACCTCACCATGCCTAAACCCTGCACAACAAGAATCCTCAACTACTTGGAGGCTATGGTCACCCGGGAATCGGCGGCAAAGGTCCTTAAGACAAGGGGCATTAAGGACTAAACCGGTGGCTCTACTAGAGGGAAGCTGGCTTTCAGGATCCTTCAACCCGCTTACGTCAACACGGCTCTGGCCATATTTGCGAACTAGCGCCTGCACAGGTGGATACTTCCACACGCTTGACGGAAGGGGGTGCTCAAGCATGAACTTCCCTCCTCGCTTGGCTTGCTTTACACATTGTTCGGTAGCAAACCTGGCCTGTGCACGGGCTTCACGCACCAGTCTGGCCCTCTCCAGGGGCGAGAGCCTGGTGCCATTCAGGTCGCGCGTGTGTTCGCATGGCAGGCGTGCCACAAGCAATTCGGGTTTGGCCCGATCTAGCATCCTATCTACTTCCCGCTGCACAGTTGGATCAAGGAGATCCCAGCCCTGCTTAACATCAAAACTCAACCCTCTTAAACCCTGCTGTTCGGCCTCAAGCCGAAATCTCGGGGGCGAGAAAATCTCAGCCACTGCAAATGGGCCCGGCTGGGCATCGCCATCCTTGCAGCGGGGCTGGCGCTTCCATTGGGCAAGGAGGCTACGTGAGTCCTTCTTAGATACCCTCGAGGGCTTAGGGTTCTTACTTAGGGAAGGTTGTTCTGGGGAAGGTCGTGCTGCAACGTGCCCAGGCACACTGTCGGCTGACAGGGCCTCGGCGGACACTGCAGCGCTCGGCTTCGTGGATGAGGGGAACTGAACCAGATCTATCAAGAGCTGGCCAGCGGCGTTTGTCTGCAGGTTCACGGGCTTGTCCATCCCGAGCATGTTGGCCTGCTGCTGGACAAAGTCAATGACCATCTTTAAGCGAACAAGGGTCGGCCTTCCAAGAAGGAGGGGGGCCTTACATCACCGCTGCATCTATCACCCCGGCGCGACCAGCGATGGCTACGGGGATACGAGCCACCATGTGTGACTCCTCGGCCTCGCCATTTCCGAAGCGAAAGCTGTTGTGCTGCGACTTTTTCACGATGTCACGGCCTTGAAGCATGGGGATCATCGCTTCCAGCGTGTCCTCGCCGATGAGCGTCTTTCCACATCCCGAGTCAATCACCCCGAACCCGGGACTCGACACAAGGCTGGCTGACAAGGCCTCCTCTGCAGCACCCACGAAGTGGACCTCGTCCGTCACTGTTTCGGAGAAGTCGGCCTCCACATAGAGCGTCTCAGCTCCTCCCTTGGCTGGCACCGTAGATGAAGACGAGGTGTAGTTGGCCGCATTGCCCTGCGCCATGGGCCTGCCCGAGGCATTGGTGCGAGCCCGGCACTCGCGGGCCCAATGCCCCACTCGGCCGCACTTGCGGCACTTTGTCCTCTTCTTCAGCTCCTCCACTTCGACGCGAAAACTTCTCTTCGCCATGTCCGCCTGCTGGAACTGGCGGCTCTTGTTCAGCTTGCTGATCTCTTGCCGTCGCTCCTTCCAAGACACAGCCAAAGCCTCAGCAGCCTCTGTCTCCGAAACTGGCCCTTCGTCAGGACCAGGAGCCAAGGCGTCGTCGGCCAAGAACGCCTCGACGTCCTCAAAAGCGCTCTGCTCTGGCAAGGTCTCTTCTGGCACTTGCTCCTCTTCTGCCATCATGACAGCAGTCGGCCGTCTCGACCTGGAGCTGGTGGCCTTATAGCTCGGAAAGCAAGAACGGATTCCAGCATTCATAGTCTCCAAATCCATTCTGCCCTGCGTCTTCGCCTTCACTATGGCTTTTTGTTCCTCGGAAAAGCCGGCGCAGTGAAGAGAGATCCAGCCACGGGCCTCAGTGGGGAAGTCCACTTTCGCTTTCCGGCGGCAGCGCTCAAAGCTTCATGGACTCACCATCCTTGGCCGCCAGGGCAAAAACCTCGCCCAAGACTTCTCCCATCTGATCCTGGGGTTCCTTCTCTGGGAACCGCTCAGCAAGCAGTTTCCAAATCTTGGCGTCGCCATCTTCGGCTGACATCTCATCCAACGTCATGTGCTCGCATGCCTCCAGGGCCTTGCCATCCAGCAGGGTGAACAACCACGGCCCACGTTGGGCCTTTGACAGGTCCTTCACTGTGAGCATCTTGGCAGTGGCCCATGCTTTCCACTTCTTCAGCGCCTTCCCGGCGTCCTCATCTTCACCCGAAAAACGCTTGAACCCACGGTCCTCCATGGCTTGCGTTGCTACCTGTCCCAACCTAGGAACAGACAAAGGAAATCTATCAGAGCCCTGGCCGGGGCTCCGCTACCAATGTCGGTAGCATCCTTGCCCCGCCTGGGGCATCATCATCGCTGCAGCCTTTTGGTCCTCGAGCATACGAGTTCCTGCGGACGTACTGACCTGGCTGGCTTGCGTTGACAGCCCTAAGCCCTAGACCCTACAGCTAAATCCCTGGGGTCGTGATGGCCTCAACTTCGCCATCGTTGTCAGCCTTGAAGGCCTCCTTCGGCGTGGAGTTTGGGGCTTAAGGCTTAAAGTTTAAGGATTCGGGCTTAGGGTTTAGAGATTAGGCTTTAAGGTTTCGGGTCTAGGGTTTTTGGGTGTAAAGGCTTTTGATGCGAAGTCCTTCTAGAGTCGCAGGGTTTAGGGCTTAGGGTTCAGGGTGTTTTGTAAGGAACACCGGACCCTAACGTAGGAACCCTTAACCCTCTCTCCCGCTCGGCTGCGAGCATCCACAAAATGCTCTTAGCCCGAAAATCCTACGGGCCCTAAACCCTCAGCCCTCAGCCCTAGACCCTACAGCTAAATCCCTGGGGTCGTGATGGCCTCAACTTCGCCATCGTCGGCCGTCTTGCAGGCCTCCTTCGGCGTGGAGCTTGGGGCTTAGGGCTTATAGAGTTTAGGGATTCGGGCTTAAGGTTCAGAGTTTAAGGTTTCGGGTCTATGGTTTTTCGGTTTAGAGGCTCTTCATGCGAAGTCCTTCTAGAGTCGCAGGGTTTAGGGTTTAGGGTTGAGGGTTTAGAGCTTAGGGTTCAGTGTGTTTTGTAAGGAACACCAAACCCTACCGTAGGAACCCTTAACCCTCTCTCCCGCTCGGCTGCAAGCATCCACAAAATGCTCTTAGCCCGAAAATCCTACGAGCCCTAAACCCTAAGCCCTAAGCCCTAGACCCTAGAGTTAAATCCCTGAATTCGTGATGGCCTCAACTTCGCCATCGTTGGCCGTCTTTGAGGCCTCCTTCGGCGTGGAGCTTGGGGCTTAGGGCTTAGAGCTTAGGGATTCGGGCTTAGGGTTTAGGGTTTCGGGTCGAGGGTTTTTTGGGTTGAGAGGCTTTTTAAAGCTTAGGGTTTCGTGTATTTTGTAAGGAAGACCAAACACTAACGTAGGAACCCTTAACCCTCTCTCCCGCTCGGCTGCGAGCATCCACAAAATGCTCTTAGCCCGAAATTCATACGAGCCCTAAACCCTAAGCCCTAAGCCCTAGACCCTACAGCTAAATCCCTGGGGTCGTGATGGCCTCAACTTCGCCATCGTGGGCCGTCTTCGAGGCCTCCTTCGCCGTGGAGCTTGGGGCTTAGGGCTTATAGAGTTTAGAGATTCGGGCTTAAGGTTCAGAGTTTAAGGTTTCGGGTCTATGGTTTTTCGGTTTAGAGGCTTTTCATGCGAAGTCCTTCTAGAGTCGCAGGGTTTAGGGTTTAGGGTTGAGGGTTTAGAGCTCCGGGTTTAGTGTGTTTTGTAAGGCTCCAAGGAACCCTTAACCCTCTATCCACTCGGCTGCGAGCGTCCACAAAATGCTCTTAGCCCGAGATTCCTACGAGCCCTAAACCCTAAGCCCTAAGCCCTAAGCCCTAGAGTTAATTCCCTGAGGTCGTGATGGCCTCAACTTCGCAGGGTTTAGGGTTTAGGGTTGAGGATTTAGAGCTCAGGGTTTAGTGTGTTTTGTAAGGAAGACCAAACCCTAACGTAGGAACCCTTAACCCTCTATCCGCTCGGCTGCGAGCATCCACAACATGCTCTTAGCCCGAAAATCCTACGAGCCCTAAACCCTAAGCCCTAAGCCCTATAGTTGAATCCCAGGGGTCGTGATGGCCTCAACTTCGCCATCGTTGTCCATTTTCCAAGCCTCCTTCGCCGTGGAGCTTGGGGCTTAGGGCTTAGAGTTTAGGATTCGGGCTTAGGGTTTAGAGTTTAGGGTTCAGGGTTTCGAGTTTAGGGTTTTTGGGGTTTAGAGGCTTTTGATGCGGAGCTCTTCGAGAGTCGTGTTCGAGCTCCAGTAGCTTCCTTTCCTGGCCTGTCGAGAAAACAGCGGCCAGCAAGATTCGCAGGCTCCAAGCGAACATGTGTGGGAAAGAAGTCATCTTTACATGAGGCATCGTTGTTCTAGTGAGCGCGCCTTTGTGTTTTTCCAGCCCCAGCTCCAGTAGTTTCCCTTCCAGCTTTCGTTCTTGCCGTTGTCGCAGGCCTGGCGAGCCGAGGTTTGTGTGTGTGTGTGTGCGTGTGTGTGTGTGTGTGTGTGTGTGTGTGTGTGTGTCTTTCTTCGAATTCAATTAATTTAATTAATTTAATTGTAGGTGAATTAAATTAAGTAAATTAATTGAATTAATTAAATTAATTAAATTAATTAAATTAATTAAATTAATTGAATTATTTTTTGAGGTGTTTCCTGAGGATCAAATAAAGAATCTATCCGACAATTAAATTAATTAAATTAATTAAATTAATTAGATTAATTAGATTATTTTTTCAATTTCTTCGAATTCAATTAATTTAATTAATTTAATTGGTCTGGAATTGAAGGGGTCACTCCTCAGGAAACACCTCGAAAAATAATTCAATTAATTTAATTAATTTAATTAGTTTAATTAATTTCATTGTAGGTGCATTAAATTAATTAAATTAAATTAAATTAATTAAATTAATTAATTTAATTAATTTAATTATTTAATTAAATTAATTAATTGTAGGTGAATTAAATTAATTAAATTAATTAAATTAATTAAATTATTTTTTAATTTCTTCGAATTCAATTAATTTAATTAATTTAATTGTAGGTGAATTAAATTAATTAAATTAATTAAATTATTTTTTCAATTTCTTCGAATTCAATTAATTTAATTAATTTAATTGTAGGTTAATTAAATTAATTAAGATAATTAAATTAATTAAATTAATTAAATTAATTGAATTAATTGAATTATTTTTTGAGGTGTTTCCTGAGGATCAAATAAAGAATCTATCCGACAATTAAATTAATTAAATTAATTAAATTAATTAAATTAATTAAATTAATTAAATTAATTAAATTATTTTTTCAATTTCTTCGAATTCAATTAATTTAATTAATTTAATTGGTCTGGAATTGAAGGGGTCACTCCTCAGGAAACACCTCGAAAAATAATTCAATTAATTTAATTAATTTAATTAATTTAATTAATTTAATTGTAGGTGAATTAAATTAATTAAATTAATTAAATTAATTAAATCATTTTTTTAATTTCTTCGAATTCAATTAATTTAATTAATTTAATTGTAGGTGAATTAAATTAATTAAATTAATTAAATTACTTTTTCAATTTCTTCGAATTCAATTAATTTAATTAATTTAATTGTAGGTTAATTAAATTAATTAAATTAATTGAATTATTTTTTTGAGGTGTTTCCTGAGGATCAAATAAAGAATCTACCCGACAATTAAATTAATTAAATTAATTAAATTAATTAAATTAATTAAATTATTTTTTCAATTTCTTCGAATTCAATTAATTTAATTAATTTAATTGTAGGTCAATTAAATTAATTAAATTAATTAAATTATTTTCTTAATTTCTTCGAATTCAATTAATTTAACTAATTTAATTGGTCAATCAGTTCAATTAATTAAATTAATGAAATTATTTTCTCAATTTTTTCGCATTCAGTATTCTTTATTGAATTTAATTAATTTAATTATTTAAATTAATTTAATTATTATTCATAGTACTAACAACAGCCACGACGCAAAATAGACCCTAAAGGTCCCTCTCTCATATACATATACATATGCTTATTTGTAGTTGTATGAATCTGCGATATATAGAACAGACCGGAAACAAGAAATAACAGACTAGTAACAACACAAGAGCAAAGTGTGGCAAAATCAAAAGTCGGAAAGCAGAGATCAGAAAACCAAGGAGCAGCAAGCAAAACCAAGCAACAAACAAGCTTAGAGCTTCCCACAGCCATGGTTTCAAGGGTTGCCCACCAGCTCATGAGGCTAGGGCGGCCAGCGGCCTCTTTCTAAGAGGCGTATTTGTTTTCCTCTGCTCTTTTGATTTTTTGCTGGGGAGGGGGGTGGGGAGGGTGACTATTTCTGTCTTTTGTCTGTCTCTTCAAGCAAAGCGGAAGCCTCAGGGTCGAGTTTGGGCCTAAAACGTGCACACACACACACCCACACGCACCCACGCACCCACTGACAACGCACACGCACGAACACGAAGTCACTCCATCCAGACGCCCTATTTTCCCAACCGGGCTCGTACCCGTCCCCGAAACATTGAAATTGACATAATCACTCTGTAGAGCCGAGAAACTTCGCGGGGCTTGTCGTATGCCACGTGCCCCAGGCCTTTGTAAAAAGGCTGTGCTGAAAGGTTGAAGCTACATAGGATAGAGGCAAGCTGTAGCTGACTTTAGCCCAGATTGTGTGTTTGATGTGTTTTTTGCGGATGCGGTCCTGCGTTGGGGTCACAGGCCGAGCGGCTCTGAGAAGTAACGTGCCAGGTCTCGGAAGGTACACGTCTTCAGTCCAAACTTTTCACAGTTAGTCCTCAGACTCAAAAAGGTTTCCTTCTTATGTTGCTAGAGAGAAGTGAGAAGTCCCCCCCTCCCAATCTCAGACGTAGCGCAGCAAACGTTAAGTTTCCAGTGGGAGGCCTGCTGCAGGTAGTCCATCCTGCCGGAGCCACCAATCGTGTCAGGGCAGTAGGTCCCTTCGAGGCCTGAGTCACTGAGGTCAAGACGGAGGTTACGGAGGTTACGGAGGTTCGTAGGGATTGAACTGGATTGAACTCTTGAAAGTTCAGGAAAGGAGTGCTGCGGGCATGGTAGCGATGTTCATATTGTTGCGATTTGAGGGCCTGGATATTGGGTTTCTAATCTTAGAATTTGGGCTCACTCAAGATTTCAAAACTCTGAACAGCAGCACAGCTGTTTAGTTCGCAAACCCAGGTCCTGCCTGCACATGTTCTAAACCA